AATCGGCATGGGTAAGGCGTTTTGGTTCTATACCGGCAGCGGGGATTTTTCACGGAATCGGGGATTTTTCCCGGAATAGGGGATTTTTCCAGGAATCGGGGATTTTTCCCGGAATAGGGGATTTTTGCCGGGGATCACCGGAATCGGGGATTTTTCACGGAATCGGGGATTTTTCCCGGAATCGGGGATTTTTCCCTGAATCGGGGATTTTTAAAAACAGGCATATTGGCCGAATTTTGGAGCCGTCGAAATCGGGGATTTTTCAATTGGCTGTTTGGGCCGGGCTAAAGTCCCCGATTTCAAATTTTCTGGAAATACCGAAAAACACTGTTTTTTAAACCCTGTTATGCATATGTTTGCCATTTCCACCCTAATTTGTGTTTTTTTCGGTGTTTTAATCCATAATTGCCGTGCATAAAGCTAATAAAGCAGGCAATTTATTGATAGGGAAGTTGAAGATGGGGGAAAATTCAGGTTTACGGTACTCTCCCAAAATGCGGTTTTTTGTGTTCAAATCGCTAAATAAAGGTCAGAAACGGACCCATCGACAAAAATTAGGTGGCGGAAGGCACTTTTTAGGGGAGAAAACCTCATTTTAGTTTTGAGATCGGGTACCGTAAAGTAGTATACGGGGGATACTACTTTACGGTACTCGCCCAAAATTTTCCTTTTTCTGCACGAATAGAAGCACCAAGGAAACTGAAACGTATTAATCAGCAAAAATAAGTGGGCGGAAAGGCCTAAAAATGAGTGATTTGAGACTTCGAAGTTTGAGGCTTATGACATGTGCAAGGTGGGCCGTCGCTTCGGATGGGCTGCCGCTCCACTCTTTCGAAATCAGGGCGCCTGGGCGCTTCGCGCTCCTCGGGCGCCCCGATTTCGAAACACTGTACGAGCTCGCACCCATCCGAAGCGACTAGGCCCCGGGTGGCGCGAAGCCTTATTTTTAGGCTTAAACTGGGTGTGATTGAGAGATGGAATCTGTGTCCGAATCTTCCCTTTATAGGCCTTTCCGCCCACTTATTTTTGCTGATTAATACGTTTCAGTTTCCTTGGTGCTTCTATTCGTGCAGAAAAAGGAAAATTTTGGGCGAGTACCGTAAAGTAGTATCCCCCGTATACTACTTTACGGTACCCGATCTCAAAACTAAAATGAGGTTTTCTCCCCTAAAAAGTGCCTTCCGCCACCTAATTTTTGTCGATGGGTCCGTTTCTGACCTTTATTTAGCGATTTGAACACAAAAAACCGCATTTTGGGAGAGTACCGTAAACCTGAATTTTCCCCCATCTTCAACTTCCCTATCAATAAATTGCCTGCTTTATTAGCTTCATGCACGGCAATTATGGATTAAAACACCGAAAAAAACACAAATTAGGGTGGAAATGGCAAACATATGCATAACAGGGTTTAAAAAACAGTGTTTTTCGGTAATTCCAGAAAATTTGAAATCGGGGATTTTAGCCCGGCCCAAACAGCCAATTGAAAAATCCCCGATTTCGACGGCTCCAAAATTCGGCCAATATGCCTGTTTTTAAAAATCCCCGATTTCGGGAAAAATCCCCGATTCAGGGAAAAATCCCCGATTCCGGGAAAAATCCCCGATTCCGTGAAAAATCCCCGATTCCGGTGATCCCCGGCAAAAATCCCCTATTCCGGGAAAAATCCCCGATTCCTGGAAAAATCCCCTATTCCGGGAAAAATCCCCGATTCCGTGAAAAATCCCCGCTGCCGGTATAGAACCGGCGTTTTTAAAGGGACCTGGAAGGCGAGGTTTTTCTATGGATTTGTGAAAACGTAGCGAGATGGATCAAGTTCTTCAAAAGTGCACGGCCGGCAGGCTAGCAGAGAATCTTTAGGAAATTTGGAATTGTCGGGTCGCTTGGGTATTTTTAACATGGACAAACTAGCAGGGAACTTTTAGGATCTAGGTGAATTTCCGGAACCGCGCCGAAGTTTAGAGTCCTGAAGCAATAAACAAAGCTCCGCGTAGCCCATTGGAGGCCAGATGTTGCCAAGCAGTCCGGGTCATCTCACTCTCTCTCTCTCGCTCTCTCTCTCTCTCTCTCTCTCTCTCTCTCTCTCTCGCTCGCTCTCTCTAGCTTTCTTGCTACCCCCTCACTCTATAGCTCTCTATCTCTCTCTCTCTCTCTCTCTCTCTCTCTCTCTCTCTCTCTCTCTCTCTGTCTATGTTCTCTCGCGAATAAATCTCGAACATCCAAATAAATCCCAAAAATAATTTTCCGAAATCCCCCGTCAGAGTAGAAAATGGGGGCCCCGCGTAGAATAGTGGGGCCCTCCCATTTGGGTTGACAGATTGAAAATTGGCCCATGGGGGAGTGAGGGACGGAAGGAAAACGGAGATGTGTGTCCCATGTCCACAACAATAATATATATTATGGGCTTCTTCCAGGGTAAATACGGATGTCGGTGGAATGCGTAACATCGAGGAAGAGGAGAAGAATGGAGCTGCTACTGACAGACAGACAGACAGACAGACAGATAGACAGCAGACTTTACGGGGAGGTGAATTCCGACTTACACAAAAAAAAGCCAGCCTCCCTCCAGGAAAAACCTCCCCCGATAATGCGAAAGCACCGTATTTATTTATTTCACCCTCTCTCTCTCTCTCTCTCTCTCTCTCTCTGTTTCTTTCTCTCTGTCTCTCTCTCTGTCGCTCTCCCTCTCTCTCACTCTCTCTCTCGCTCTCTCTCCCCTCTCTCTCGCTCTCCCTGTCTCTCTTGCCCTTTTTCTCTCTATCGCTCTCTCTCTCTCTCTCTCTCGCTCTCTCTCTCTCTGTCTTTCTCACCTCGAATTCTAAAGTTTCCAAGTGACGTTTGCTAATTCAAATGCAAATGTCACGAGTCCCAACATAGTTAGCCCTAACTCCCCCATGTTTTTTCAGCCCACCCACCGCTTTTTCAAAAAGTGCTGTGGGGGGCCATGTTCATCCACGGCGGCGGCTCCAGTTTCCCGGCACCGGAAATTCCGCTCGACATAAGGTGCAGCAAAGGGCCCCGGGGGAGGCAAATCCGAGCTTTGCTTTTTATGGGAGCAAATGGGGAGGATTCGGCAAGGACGAAAAAATTGCGGTAAAGAACAGATAATCAGGAAAAATATTGGAACCAAATTAGCGCCCCCAGGTGCACAGGTTTTTGTATGTTTTCGCGGTTCTACCCGGATTCGGGTACAAGAAGTTCCAAAATACCGGAAATTAAGACAAGGAAATGCCAAAGAAAAAAAGCACAAGACTGGTCGTTCCTTATTTAGCATTTGAGCTTTCGTGTCGAAAATCAAAATTTCGACAGCTGGACAACCGACATCGAAAATTCTAACGGCGGCAAAGGCCGACAATGAAAATGCCGATAGATGAACTCCTCAAACAAATTGCAAACCAGCAAAATCCCGAGAACGAAAACCTCGACCACCAAATGCCGACAAAACTAAGGCCAAAAATCGAAAAATCAGATGAAATGCCGACAAAAAATTGCGAACAGCCGAAGGCGGACAATCAAAATGCCGACAAAAACGCTAAAAATTAAAAGGTGATGGCTTAAATATCGACAAAGAAACACCTATAACTAAAACGCCAACAATAAAATGCCGAGAACTGGAACCAGGCAAAAAATGCCGATGACAAAGATGCCGACAGTAACATTAGCACAACTGAAATGCCGACAGCCGAAGTTGTAAAAATACTAATGCCAAAGGGAAAAACTTCGATGCAAAAACGGTTAAATTACAGCTAGATCTGAATCTGAATTTTTTGAATTCGGTTCATCAAGACAGTGGATGGCGGGATTTTGTTATTTTCTAGGTTTAAAATTATGCGTAAAATGTTAAAAATTTAGAGTATGCCTGAACGAAGACCAGTACTCTAGGTAACTGCACGACAAACTCCTTCGCCTCCCGAAATCACCAAAAAAAATTAGATACCTGGGGTTCGGGGATTTCCGCGGCGGCATTTTAGTTGTCGGCATTTCGAGATTTCCGCACTTTGAGAGCACAAAATAAATGAAATTAATCTGTAAAACTGCTCAATGAACTCCGGAGCCCCCAAAAACCAAAACCATCAAAACAAAGAGATCAGCGTGAACTGCTGGGTGGGGGTCATCAGGATAGAGGATGGCATTGGTGGTGTATTGAAGTGGCTCGCGTGATGGCCAATCCCTCCCCATTGCTTCTGTCTCTATCTGTATGCCTGTGTCTCGTATTTGTTTTAGCTCATCGCCCGGGCAAACCCGCGGTTCATTGCCTCCACACACACATACAGGTAGGCAATACTCTCTGACTGTCAAATCACTACGCGACCATCCACCCGTTGTTCGGTCCTGGAAAGTGCAAATAAAAGGTGGAAGCGGTCGAAATAAACCCGAATTTTTCAAAAAACGTACAAAATTCATCAGCAATTGGTCTTTGCATTTACATGAAATCGTAGCTGTTTTTATGTCGAGGTGAGACCTCCAAATAACCAATGCTCTTCTCTCTCTCTCTCTCTCTCTCTCTCTCTCTCTCTCTCTCTCTCTCTCTCTCTCTCTCTCTCTCTCTCTCTCTCTCTCTCTCTCTCTCTCTCTCTCTCTCTCTCCTCTTCTCTCTCTCTCTCTCTCCCCCCCCCCCCCCCCCTCCTTCCCTTTCTCTCTCTTTCTCTCACTCTCACTCTCTTTCTCTCTCCCTCTCTCTCTCTCGCTCGCTCCTCTCTCTTTCTCTCTTTCTCTCTCTCTCGCTCTCTCTCTCTCTATTTCTTGATGTGAATTTTTACGTCAAAATTTTATTAAGATAAAAATAACCGGGTCTACGAACACGCTAATTAGAAGTATATAAAATATAAAAACGGAGGAAAATCTATGTAATGATTATCACAATCTGATTATTTTTGGGGAGGGAAATTCATGGAAATGGTCGGTGTGAAAGCTCATGCGAGATTTTGAGATCTGGGAAAAGAAGAATCATCGTAGAAAAACCGAATTTTTTATTGTTTTTTTCTCAGGTTTCAAATGTTTCAGGGTCCATACCACAGCTCGGGGCACAAAAACAGGAACAAATTAAGGGCGATTAACGACAAGAAAAATGATAGTGAGATCGTCTCCAGGCGGCGCAGAATGCGCTCCCAGAAACCCGTCAAAAACCCGCGATGTCGCATCGATTCCTGTAAAAATACAAAATATAATAAGACAACTCTTTAAAAATCGAGGTTTTGCTTATTTTTGATTCAAGAAAAATTGATTAAAAAGTTTTTAAAAATCATATGAACAAAACCAAAAATCAATTTTTTAGATTTAAATTGATAAATACAAACTTTCAAACCTGCTCCTTCTATGAATTTCAAGCAAAAAAAAAAGATTTTTCTATAGTTTCGAAATCATTCAGCGATTTTTGTGACGTGATACAGCACGCAAATAATTTTGGCCCTTTGCTTATTTTACCCTGCTTCCCCTTTGCAGGCATTCAGAAAGAAAAGTAAAAAATTCAGCCCATACCTTAATTTGAATAATCTCCCGTATCAACTGGATAATGATGTCGAGGCGCTGCCTGGACTGGGCGGGGCCTGAAAAAACTCGAAATAATATTTCAGGGGATAGGAAGTGCGGTATTCGACCCATCGGGCCACCAGGTCTCGACTTCTACGAAATCCGATCAATGGGTTTTGTAGATACTTACCCTCTAGCAAAACTTCAGTAGTAAGTGGTTGGTCCTGGTTAAGTTCTGTGAAGTTCACCTAAATTCAGAATAAAAAGGAACTTAAACGAAATAGTTTACATTATTCGGAATTAAATTCCGCATCAGTGTGCTTTCAGGGGTGGAATGCCGGCTGAATGCGGCCACGTTGTTATTTCTCGAGATGTCGTCACCCTAAAATAGCGTATTTGAGAGAGAGAGAGCAAGAGCGAGAGAGAGAGAGAGAAAGAGAGAGAGAGAGCGCTGGAACAACTCACCTTCGGATAAAACCGAAAATTTTTCGGCACGTAGCAGAAGAATAGTTTCTTGGCCATCAAAAACCGAAGGTAGGATGGCACTGCCTAAAACGATAATTTTCAGATGTTTATGCTTCCGAAAGGGTCTCTGCAACTTTGCCCGTACCTGTATCGATGGGTTTTTCAATGCATATTTCTCCAGATGGACAAAAATCGAGGTTGTACAGGTTGCCACGCCGACGACGAGGATCAGCGTCATGTAGTAAATGCCTAAAAATAAGAATAGCATCGGATTCCTGAGAAATCTATGCTAGCATCTCTCCCGCCCTATCTCTCTCTCACACTCACTCTCTCTTCTCTCTATCTCTTCTCTCTCTCTATCTCGCTCTCTCTCACCTAACAACGGCACATCTGAGAAAGATCCGCGCTGCCCAGGTACACTCTCCATCGCAAACTTCATCTCCCCGACGAGCATCAACAACATGACGGACATCGACAGCAAGGTCATAATGCCTAAATCGAGCGTTTCTTGTCCTGCTCTTCCGTTTACCTAATCGAAATTTGCTCTCCCTCCTCCCGGTCGCGTTAATTGGAGCATGGAAGCCAATGACGGCGACCAGGGAGACGAGTGTCGTCGGGAAGACCAGGTTGAAGACGTAGTAGAAGCTCTGGCGTCTCAAGTGTACGTTGATGGTGACCATGGAAAAGCTTTCGTTGTCGATATGCCGAATCGTGCCGTTGGATAGACTTGCGCCCATCAGGAGCCATTCCTGAAATGGGCATTACGGGTTTTAAGGGATGGGGGAAGTCGAGGTATGTGAGCTTGATTAGGGTATGTTGGGTCACGTACAAAACGCAGAGCTTTGGTGCGTCGGGACCGGCTTTAAAAGAAGTATCAACAAACTTCAAGTACTGTATCTTAAAAAAAATTATAGATAATTTTTAGGATCTTCGTTTCAGGCATGGTGCGCCAAAGGATGGGTTTTAAAGCCATAGTTCCTCGTTTGGACTCAGCTTTCAAACGTAGTGTCTCGAGAAAATTATTCCAAAAAGTGGCCGCGTGTGTTTAAAAAAATTCCTTGTTTTAAACGATACTTATAGGTATCGAATGCTAAATTGCTAAACCCACCTGATTATCGAAGAAATCCCCGAGGTCGAGCTCCTCCTTCTCGACGATCAGCCTCACGACGTCGGATTGGTACGTCCACGATCCGCACTGGAAAATCAAGGTTAATCGTTTAACAATCCCATTTTTGGTCTTTTTGAGCCGATGATGTAACCATGCCACGAAATTTTGTTTGAATTTGAAAATCAGGTAATACTAGTATGTTTTGTTATTAGGAAGCTCCGGTAGGAGTCTTCGAAATTTTCTTTCAGTTGTCAATCATTCATCTATTAATGCATATTTCGTTTTCCGTTAAGCCCCTTTTTGCGCCTCGTGAAGTCATGTACACATTTCCGGACCCCTGAGCGTTGAACGGAGTCCCCTAACCCCTGCCGGAGACATGGGTAACGCTAAATTCAGAACCCGGCCAGCCGCAATAATCGTCGGTCAGTCAGCTGCGGGTGTGCTTGCCCCCAAATGTCTCACCACGCTGTTTTCTTCAAAACTAAACGTCGTCGAGGCGGGAACATAACGCTCCTTTTTACACCTCCCCTCGGCCCACGCGCGATTTTAGGAAGTATTTATGTTTTTATGTCTAGGTATCGCTCTCTCTCTCTCTCTATCTCTCTCTCTCTCTCTCTCTCTCTCTCTTTCTCTCTAGCGCTTTTCTATTGCCTAAACGTTGTCTGGGGTAGACATAACATAGTACGTATCCGGAGGAAAAACGTTCAAGGGTCGAGGAAGCACAATAATCGAGCCCCCGGTCTGAGCTGCGTCTTGACCATCGAATTTCTGATGCCTAGGTAATTATAGGCTCGTTTCTAAGCTTTGAATGCCATCTTGAAACCTAACTAAGCACATTTTGTAGCCATGTACAGCTGTCGAGACCTAGGGCATTTCATGGGGTTGATTTTAGTGCTTCCTGGTCCCTTTAAGATTGCGAAGAAATATTTTTTTAAAGGCCCTTGGAAGGCAAAATACCTGTTCTAGCTAGGAAAAGTAGAGCATAAAGTACACATTTTAAACCTTCGTAATCAAATACACAGTTTTTAGTCTAGTAAAGTCGAGCCTTTTATGTTATTCAGGCAAAAAATAATTAAATATGCGATTTTTTATCGTATTTTATTACTACCCTACATTTTCCAGCCCCATTGGCCCCGTGCCAAAATTGCCCAAACCCACGGCAAGACCTCAAAAGCCAATCCAGCCCCCACACACAACTTTCAAAACTCCCCGGTCAGTTATTATTCTCCAGCGGTCGAGCTTGGCCCCTATCCTTAGGGTCCACCTTGGGGCCCAGCTCGGGGCCCAGCTGGTGGCCCTGTCCTAAATTTTAGTTCCCCTCGCATATGGACACGACAAAAGTGGCAATTGCTTCCGGGCCCTGGGCGCCCACCTGAGCGGCCGGCGGCCCATGCTGTTTTTCGAATGGCCCCGAAGGGCCAGTGGAACAAGTAGTACTTTTTGGGGGTTTGGGCTTGGTTTTCTTGGTTTTATGTTCATTTTAAGTGCTTTAGATTTCTGGTTATGCAAAGCAGTCCTGTTTCAATTTTTCATGTCTTCTTTTAGACTAATTAGCATAAAACTTAGCAAAAAATTTGTGAGCCTGTAGCCCGGCCAGGCAGGCATTAAAAGTGAATTAAGGCTTCAAAAATGTAGTGAACATCTTCTGAAGCTCAGATGTTTTGTAAACTATTTTTGAAGGCTAATTTTTTGTAACACGAAGCGACAATAGACTGATTAGGGTTTTTAATGTAATATAAAATTTTTTTTACAGTTGTTGGTTTGCTTTCCATTTTGTAATACGTTTCAAGGGTATTTTCATCTGTCTTTCCAATTTTTCGGGCTTTGTTCTACTCTCGCCGTCATTTGCATAGGTCGTAAAAGTATCCCGAACCCTCTGCCTCCTGTCCAAAACGACTTCCGCCTATTTTCATGCTTTTTCGCTTTCTGAAGCCATTGGGAAAGTGTAGTATTCTTTACATTAAAATTCCAAAAACCAAAAATCTTCGGCACATTCTAATGTCTTTTGACACGCGCTTATTTTCAAAAATTACTGGACAAGGTCTAATTTAGCTACCAGAAGATGCTAGGATGGCTGCTATTTGCCGAAATCATGAATTTCTGCACTTTCCTTAATGCGCAGATGATCAAGCCGAGTGGTATCGATCGAATTATTGGAATTGAGACTGCGCCTACACAAATGGTGATCACGACTACGAAGGAAGGTGAGTATACGGGTTGAATATCTCGCTCTCTCTCTCTCTCGCTCTCCCCCTCTCCCTCTCTCTCACCCTCTCTCGCGCTCTCTCTCTCTCTCTCTCGCTCTCCTTATGCCAAAACATGAACTGCAAAAACTGGACTTCAGGGCCCACTGAGCAGTTGAGCGTGAAAATTGAGGTCACCGACTTGCAAGACCACCGGATATTTACGCCAATTTCGTTAAGTGGATTGTTTCTATTAATAAGCCGAGGTACTTCGTTTAAAGTGATGATGACAGCCTACTCTCCTCTTCAGGACGGTATACAGTACCCTTCCTCCGGCCCGACCACTTCTATGGGGTCTACTTTCAAAGTGAGAACACTGTAAATGGCGTCCGAATGTTTCACAACGAGACGAGGATCGTGAAAACGATGCCGAGGCATGGAGAAAATACCACGAACAATTTTGTGGATCCGAGATTTGAGGTGAGAAAGAGAACGAGAGAGAGAGAGAGAGAGAGAGGGAGAGATTGAGAGCGAGAGAGAGAGAGAGAGAGAGAGCTAGTGCCAGAAGCTACATTTTCGAACTAGTGGCCTAAAAAATTGATTTCTAAGGTGCCATGCATTATGTTGCTATTCATCATTCAGCTAATACAAGCGGCTAATTTGAAACTTTCTCTTTTTTGTTTATATATATATTTCTCATTTTCAAGAATTCTAGCCAACGCTCACCAACCTATTCCATTTCAACAATTCCACCAAAAACCCGGCCGATTTGGTCGTGGTAAAACAGGTAGAGAGAGAGAGAGAGAATGAGAATGCGATGAATGGATAATTTTTTAACTACGGAATGGCATGAGCAACTGATACTAATAGTATAATTTAAGGTGACAGACGCCATAATATTTCGTTTTTTAGATCTACGTGCATCGGAACGATGAGAATGGGGGCAGCAACACCGAGGGTGTTTTTGTGACAATCAAATGGCTGACGGAGAGGAGGTAGGAGAGAGAGCAGAGCGAGTGAGTGAGGGAGAGAGAGACAGAGAGCGAGAGAGAGAGAGAGAGAGAGAGAGAGAGAGAGAGAGAGAGAGAGCTGTAGAGGGCGAGGAAGAGAGCGAGAGTGATAGCGCGAATCAAGCCATTTTTCAGGATCCCGGGAAGCTTCCTCTCGATAAAAATCCGTGTCCTATGCGAGCATACCAACGCGACAGAAAACGTCCATTTAAGAGATACTGAAGCCGGGATCACGTTAGAAATTGCGGTGTGCAAATTAGCAAAATAATTAAACTAGTTCCAGATGGACCACAAAATGGACGTCGAGGATATGGAAGAGAATTCCCACCAAATCAAGGCTAACATCTCGCCGTTGAAGTGCAGGGAGTGGGTTTAACGTTTTAAAAATGTAGCCCTTAGTGAGTAGTATCGAAAAATCTCTGAATGAATTTTTGGAGAAGCGGAAAGCCAGTAGCTACCAGTAAATCCAGCTAGAAGCTATGACTAATTTGTTTAAGAATCTGCTGGGACGTCGACTACGTGCTACCCGTCCTGAGCAGGAACTTCACCCGAGAATTTAACAGAACCTGCGAGAAAATTGAGGGCACCACGACGACTACTTTTGTTAGGGAGCTGAAATCGTACAAGGTACAAAAATATTGCCCAAAAACTGAAAATTTTTTTTGGATTTAGGTGATCGGAAATACGCTCTACGTCCTCACTGAAATCCCAGAAAATCAGGCTGATCACGGGGTAGTGACTTTGAGCGCCCAGAACTTGGCAGAGAGCATGGAGGAGCCGATTTTTAAGGAGTATCAGTGAGTTTTAAGGATTGAGGGAGAGCGCGTGAGAAAAACAGAGGGCCAGGGAGAGAGCGAGTCAGAGAGACGGAATGGAAGAGTGAGAGGGAGAGCGAGGCTCGAGAGCATGACGAGCAAGATAGAGAGAGGGAGAGATAGTGAGGACGAGGGAGAGAGAGAGAGTGAGAGAGAGGAGGGAGAGCGAGCGAGAGAAGGAAAACGTCGAAACCGCGACCGCCTAAATCCCGAGCTCGCGACAAGGATATGTCGCGATTGTTCGTGTCATTATTATAACTGTCGGGATTTTGGTTCAATTCAAAAGCAATCTAAAACAAACTCTACTATTTTTCAGGGTCGCCACAACCCCAAACGGCACCTTCATGCTCCAACTCGAAGAAGGAAACGCCTACGCGATCACCTACAAGTACATCAAGGCCCTCCCATTCAAATATTCCACCAAAGACCACTTTATGATCGAGATTCCAGCCTCTAAAAAATCCGGAAATTCCTCTAGAGAGGAGCTGGATTCCGGTAGTCTCGTCGATTTGGTAATCGACCCTCCAATTCTGAACATCACCTCAGAAGGGGAATTTGTTGAGACCCCAAAAATTACCCTCGAAATAGGCCCAAAATACGCCGGGCAAAACGTTTCCTTAAAAACGGAGGATTTCTGCGGGAGTAATGTAATTAAGGGAAACCGCGTGGATTTCAAGAAACCCGAAGTGCCCTTGGAATTGCCGTTAAAGAAGATTGTCTGCGGGCTTGAGAAGAATTTGACGATGTGTCAAAATGTGACGAGTAGCTGTGTGGACACCAAATTCTGCTATACCCCCACCGTATTGAGGGAAAATATAGCATATGAAGGCCCCAGAAAATGCATAGATTTGGCGCGAACATTGGAGTATGAGGTGGCGAAGGAGGCGAGCAGGATATTTTCGTGGCTTCTTCAATTTTTGTTAGTATGGATTGTGATTACGCGGTAGTGGTGGAATAAAGAGAGTTCTATAGCTCGAGTTGAGCACACGCGAAAGAGAGAGCGAGAGAGAGCGAGACAGGGAGCGAGAGAGAGAGAGAGAGAGAGAGAGAGAGAGAGAGAGAGAGAATTACCCCTTCCCTTTTTAAAGTTTCTCGGATGTTTTTGCCAAAATTTAAATATTTAGCAAAGTGCAAAATTCACGTTTTGCGGCTTCGTAAATTCCATATCGTAATCGATTGGCAAAGCAGAGTTTTTTTTTGGTGAATCATCGTATTAGATGGTTTTTCGGCCTCTTTTCAGACATTATAATGCAACAAAATACCGTATCTAAAAAACTTTGCGAATAAAAAGAACTCACATAAAAGCTGCAGTTTTGCTCGTCGAACGGCATCATCTTGACGTTGACCGGGCAGAGGGATCGCGCCGTGATTGGGACGAATATACGGACCCGCCCGTCGTTTCGGACCTAAAATCAGGCAATTTGAATGCCGGAGGAGCCGTTTCATATAATTCAGACACGGCTAACCTATTACGACACCAAAATCAGGAGGCATACTCAGAGCAAAACGTTTCATAGCGCTATCAAACCCTAGAAAATCGTACCTCAGCTGTCGCATCCGATGCGTAGTCCGGCGTTCTGCCTTGGACACTAAATCCCGCAATTTTAGCAAATTTTTAAGCTACCTATGATACATATAAAATTCTGGTTTCCAAAGCCATCTTATCGGAATGAAGATTTTTGTCAACGTCCCAAAATCGGTCTCATTCCAGCCTATGTATTCATCAATCCACCAAGCGTCAATATAAGCAGATATTGTGGCGAGGTTGGAGCGTTGGTCCTAAAAAATTAACTGTTTATCTCGCTCACCCTCACTCTCGCCCTCTCTCATTCACTCTCTCTCTCTCTCTCTCTCTCTCTCTCTCTCTCTCTCTCTCTCTCTCTCTCTCTCTCTCTCTCTCTCACTCTCTCTCTCTCTTGTTGTCTTTCTCTCAACTTACCAAATCCACGATTTGATACAAATCTGCTCGGACATGGACTTCTACCATTTTTCGAGGGTATCGGACTGGCAGGTGGTAGGGTCGTGCCTGAAATGTGGGTTTTGGAAGGGGATAGAGAAAGAGAGAGAGTGAGAGAGAGAGAGAGAGAGAGAGAGAGAGAGAGAGAGACTTACCCGATGCTTGATATAGTCCGCCAGCATCCCATGCAAATCAACGCCCTCCTCGATGACGGCCTCTTCTGAAGATTCGAACGGGGTTCCCCGTCGCGTCTGGACAATTTGCACTGGAGACCGGGAAGTCTTCTTGGCGACGAATGCTGAAGAAGGAGCATTAATGGTGTTTGGATGACGGTTTTTCTTGGGCTTTCTTGTCGAAATTTTAATCGGAATTACTCCATTTTCCAAGTTCTGAAGCTTGCTATTTTTTAGGTGCTTTTGCGTTACCGCGGGGGGGGGGGGTGGACGAGAAGCTTTTTTTATGGACTATTCATTATAATTTTCTGCTATAAATCCCCAAACCCAAATTCCGCCAGATTCCGGTCCACACTCTATTTGCCAACCACTTCCCCCCCCGGGCAGTGGATGTCTCGCGCAAAAAAATGATGGAAGTAACTCGAAGCCCCCGGACAACGGGCTGACCCAACACACAACCCATTGTTTTCCCTCCTTCACCCAAATTCCGAATTCCGTTTGCTATTTTGCACGCCCCGAATAACCCTCTGCCAAGTGTCCAGTGGAATGGAGCGGAACTCCAGAACTCGGGCGCATGTGAAATTTAATATCTATCGGAAATTCTGGGGCATCTGCATCAACAAGACCGTATTTTTGGGCAAGTGGGAAGTCATAAAATAGCAAACTACTTTGTTGTTTGGGAAGCTAAATGGTTGAAGGTATTTCCGCATTATTAAGGTAATTACGGATTTTTAGAAACCGGTCAGCTAGCAGAGAGCATTTGGGACTCTAATGTTTTCAAACGACGAGAAATACATGCTCGAAATCATTAGTTTTTACACACAGCAGGGTTTTTTTGTGAATTTTCCATAACAAAATTTTTCCATAATTTACGTTTTTCTAAAAACCCAGTCCTTCTTCATTTTGTCTGAACGACCTGGTCGAGCTGGCCACCTGCCCTTTGTGTGGAAAAAATGTCAGTTGGCTCTTTGAAATGCAAGGCACGTGTACGGGAGGCTGGTCTCAGCTTTTTGTGAATTTTTGGGACGCAGGAATTCCTGATTTGGGCTCAGTCTCTCTTTCAGTTCGACCACTCACTCTCACACTCTCTCTCTCTCTCTCTCTCTCTCTCTCTCTCTCTGGCTCCAGCTCCAGCTCTATGTGTCTTTTTCTCTCCCTGACCTTTCTGTCTCTCTTCTCTCCCTCCCTCCCTCTCTCTCTCTCTCTCTCTCTCTCCCTCTCTCTCTCTTTAGGTTCCTCTCTATCTTTCTCTTTTTCTCTCTCCCACTTTCTCTCTACGTCACTCTCTCCACTTGCACGCTCTAATTATCTCTCTCACTCTCTCTCCCTCTCACCCTGTCACTCTCACTCTCGCTCTCCCACTTTCTCTCCCTCGCTTTCCCAAAAAATCTTTGCTAGTCTCCCCCTGCCCAACTTTATATAAACCAAGAAATTCCGGAGAGCCAATTCTATCTAGGGCGATGATCTGATGCCTGGAATAGGCCCAGCTAGGGGGGCATCCCCGTTTTTGCCGCCAAAGAGCAAAAAGCCAGGGGGTGAGGAGGAGGCATTTATGTGTGCGTATCCTGGAGGGGGTTGACGCGAAGGCGCATCTCGGGAGCGCTCAATAATGCTCCCAGGGGATTTGTGACGCCGCGCACCGCCCTGGGTCGTCTATGCTAAAGTGGGAAAGATCGGGCTCACACCTTGCTCATCGTCAACTTAAAAAGACTAGAGATGATAAAAGACTGCAAGGGCTAGGTCGCGACAGCTATCAGGATGTCAAGATACACGTGGCAGCATTCAATATTGCATTAATATCACGACTTTCGTGTCCTTAAAATGAACTATAACGTACTTTGGCGCCGCTCGTATCCTCGCAACCCAGTGCTTTGGAGTTGTCTATTTTAACCTTATAGACCTCTTTTAAGCGGATCGGCTGGGCGCATGTTCGTATTTTGGACCATGAACCCCAACTTGTGCTTTTTTTTTTTTAATTTTGTCACGCGTCGTCCCCCCCCCCCCCCGCGTATCCATGGCTCCTGGCCCATTCAAACGAAGCTATACACGCTTTGGCTTGTGCGTAGGCGATGCGAAAACCGCAAAGGAAGCCGAAAGAAGCCGACAAATGTGTTTTTTTGCGTGGTACGCCGAAAAAGCGGGTGGACTAGGGAAGCAGGCCGGGATGTCTGACTCGGGGTAAGCGACTTCGGCGAGTTCAAGCGGGTCAGACCTGGGTGGCTATATCTGCCTTCGACTAAAGGATATTTCGATATTGAAGGTCAGGTTTTGTTGAAAATGGCTAAATTAAAGCGCCTATGCGTACAAGAAAAATCAGAAAAATTCCTTTTTTTGCCGGTCAACCCAAATTTGCTTTCGTTTAGTTTTCAGGTAAACTTTTCGCCTGGGCCCTAAAAAGAAAGGCGGTTCCCAGAAAATTCGACTTAAAATAGACCCAAAAACAACTGGGCCGACTGGGCACGTGCCTTTAACCCTTTTAACCCTAAGGACTTGAAGGAGAACGGGAGGAATAGCCCATTTGGCCATTGACTTTGGGTCGGTACTTTCACGGAAGTTAGGGTCGAGTAAAAAAGGCAGGGTCACCGAAAACAGGAACGAGAAAAAGCATGCCTAAATGCCCCCCAAAAAAAGACGAGGCAAACCTAATTGCCCACAAATAAAACGCCAAAATATGTCTGGCCGTAAAACACGGAATGGAAGCCGAGTTCTGGTGGCAAATTACAAAGCCAAAAGTCGCACGAACGTCTGATAGTCGCAGAAATCACCCCGGAGTTGCCTTAAAAATGACAAAAACCAAAGTGGCCGCAGAGCAAGCTAGCACAAATCTTGGGGGAAATCTACACGGCATTTGGTGGTATTTTAGGTAAGCCACAAAGGCTTCCAAAAATCGCTTATTTTTGCCTCCGCGGGTTTTTATGCTTGAATTTTAGCCAGCCTCCCGTTTTTTAGTTATTTTCCTGCAAATTGTAGCTTTCGCAGTTTCCTGCTTTTTTTTCTGCCACCGTCAACGATGAATTTGCACGGGCCCTCAATTTGTGACACCAACGGGTCGGCGCGGCCCGGAAATTCAAGCACGATTAGGTGGCGGAAATCGGAGAAGCTTGGGAACGGGCGTGTGGCGGGGGACAAAACGTGCCCCAGGAAAGGGTTAGGCCATTTTTAAAGGACCTGACAAGTTGTAAAAATGAGAGAGAGAGAGAAAGAGAGAGAGAGAGAGGGAGAGAATTGTTGAAAATTTAGCACTTACCCTCGATCTGTAGCGCCCGGAGCAGCAGAATCACAAAATAGGGGAACCCGCGCATCTTGGAGAATCTGGAAAATCATAAAATTTACATAAAGCGTCGTTGTTCATAAGAATTCGAGAAACAGAACATAAGAAATCAGGATTAAAGACGAAAAGAATAATAACGAAAGAGAACAACAAAACGGAATACTTTCAATTCACCCAGAAAACATAAAAATCTTTAATTTTCCTAATTTTTCTCTCATTCTAAGCTTATTTTTGCATATTAAGAAATTTGAATACCATAAAGATACACTTATAAACCAAAAATTCCTGAAAAATTGAAAACCAGACTTTGTAGAAAGAAAAAGGACGTTTAGAGCGTTAGAAAAAAGCAGAATATTATTTTACAATTGTTAAATTAACGCATCTGCCTTCATTTTTCCATTGATCACGTTTGTAGAATTTCTCTTCCAAAGAATATGGAGTTGCTGCACTCCTCCGGAACGAGGTGAGACAAATGAGTGTGGATTAGTATTCAGCCCAGGGGCCGTCGTTTTTTGCCGGGAGCGGCTATAGAAAGCGTGCGGCAAAAATATGAGCGGATTAGCCGTCAGACAGTGGCAGAGGAGAGGCAAAAGGGACACCGCGGCTTCTTATGATATTTTCCTGGGACCGACGCGTGCTGGCAGTGGAATGGAAAAACGGGAAAATAGGATATCGTAGCCTCCGGACAGGAAAATGTGGGAATTTGGAAATTGAAAATTGAAAATCAGTTTGCAGGTTCTTGGGAGCCAGCAAAAAAAAATTGAACAGCGTCGTCGTGAGATAAAAATTAAAAGTTGTTAGGAAAACGTCGAATGAGCTGAATTATTTGAATACCGACAGTGCAAAAGCTCACAATCCTAATAAGCTAATATACGAAACGCCACGAAACAAATATTTTAAAATGTGCTCCCAACGTTCTTCAGGGCATTATCCTGTGTGTCGGTATTGTAAGCGTAAATCTGCTCAGTGTCGGCATTTTAGCGAGCTTGCCAAATCTACGGCATTTCAGTTCAACGTGCCCTTGAAGCAATAGCACTATTATTAGTATAGAAATCATTAAAATCATGGCAAAATAGGTGAAAACAGAATTCAATTAAAATTTCCGTTCAAGATCCCAACCACCCCCCATTAAATTTCTCGATTTCTAGCTATTTTCGGGTGTGGTGGCGGTTAGTTTTTCGAGTTTTTTGCGTCCCCGCCATTCCACATCCACATCCATCCGTCGCAGACCCGGGTCTATTGGCTTACACTCCCGGGGATTTTTGCTTGAAAGCAAAGGGGAGAAGGGGAGAATGGGCTGGAGGACGAGGCGTGAAAAACGTCCACATGGCCCCGGTTGGATGGCCGTTTCGAATGGAAGGTGTTGGAAAGGAAATTGAGGGACGGTTTTTAGCGAGTTTAATTAAATAAAAATGAATAAAGCGTGGCTAAATATGCCCATTTTGCAAATTCTCTTGAAATCGGTACTGCTTAAAAGAGACGGTCAAATGCTATAAATCTACTATTGTCTTTGCATAAAATATCCGGAATGTTAGATGCTCTAAAAATACAAATAGAAGCAGCTCCGTGCTCATCGATTTGCAATACTTTTTCCTGAAGATTGGGGCTTATTTTTAAACGAATTTTTTCAAAAAACGGTTAATTTCTCACGCTCTTGAAAATCCACGCTTATTCGACGTAAATCAACTTCAACCTTCAACTTCGACCTTTTCGTTTTAAAACTTGTAGATGAACCAAACCCCATGTTTTATCATTTAGCATAAAATCCTTTTGACAAAAATTAGGAAAAACATATAAAAATTTATAAAATAAAGAGAGTAAAAATAAGCGTATGTCAAGGAATTCTGTAAAAATGCTGACTGACTTGTACGTCACAGTAAGACAAAAAAAAAGGCTAAAACCCCCAAGTGCATAAAAAAGCGCAGCTTTGAATTTTGCAAACTAACAGAAATTTTTCTTTTTTTGCATATCCTACACTAATTCCGTAGTAATACGAAGCTTGTCATCAAAATACTAAACTTTTGAGGCCACTTGATCACGCATTCAGCGCATAAAAGGGCTAAATGGATGAAGCGGAGTCACATGCCAACACGGAGGCCCCCGGTGAAAAGTCTAGAAACACCAGCCGGGGTGGCAGTAAATTGGCGGTGCCCAGCCGGCCCAGCAAAATCACATAAAATCCAGCCAAGAGGCCCTCTCGGTGGAGCCTAGGCCACAAATCGGATTGGCGCCCAAGCCAATGTGGTGTTTCTTTCAGAGGTAGGCAGGAGAGGGCGTTAAGCATAGAAAGCAATGGGTACAATTTCGAGGAGCCGCTGAGAATCGTCGTTTTTGAATAATTTTGTAGTTGGTATGAAGCATCATAGGAAGAGAATTTTTGCAGACCAAAAGTTCCAATCAATCCCTACCCTTTATCAAAACCTGGTGTCGAAAACCTAAGAAATTTTCACTTAAACTCGGAGCTTCAATTCAAAAATACATGTAATTTAAAGAAACTCAAAAACTTGTCGAGTCCGCAACTGCGGTTGTCGAAAGTTGTTTGTTTTTGCATAATTTTTTATTGATTAAGAAAAGTACTTTGAAAATAATAACTACGAAACGCTGAAGGATTTAAGATCAACGTCAAAGAAAAGGTTAAAACTAAGGTTTACACTTTTGAAAATCTTTTTTTTGTTAAGTTGTCTGTTCCGCCAAAAATCTGTACCACAGAACTTTTCTGGCGGACGCTAAGGATTTTTTTCAGGCTTTTTTTAAAGACTTTTTTAAAGACTTTTTCAGGTACAGGCTAGCGAGGGAATTTTCAGAGAAGAAAAGCTTCGAGGGCCGATCTCGTTACAGCTACAAATGTTCGTAAAAGTTTAGGGCAGGTCTTCTGAAGCTCCTATCAAACAGCTGATGTTAGCTGTTGAGTTCATTGAACACGACAAGGAAGCGGCAGCTTTAACCATGTTCAAAAAATATCTCTTTTTCGTTTTTCGACATCTTAAGGGGCAGTGACACCTGAAAAATTCAGGGAGCCTCAAATAGCTCCAGGTATGACCGGGAAGTAACAAAAAAGGCTTTCTCCAGGTTGGTGACATGCACCAAAATCCGAAAAATCCCAATAGTATGTTTACGGTAGACCTCATGCAAATTGACCACGCCTCAAATGTGAATTCCCTAACGGGGTTTTTGGTGTTTTTAAAGGGACCGTGGCACCTGAGAAAGCACAGGAAGTCTCAGATATCCCCCCGAAATTGACCGGAAGCAACAAATGCACCCGTCCGAATAGGTGCCAAATGCAGGGCATGGGCCAGATATGTGTGTGGAGACGACCTGGTGGCAGAGTCATGACTGGGCCCCTGGTTGTGGTGTGCAGAAAAGGGGAGGGCAGAAGGGGGGAAGGAGAAGGGCCCCCTGGGGACACACCGGGCCCTCGACTCACAGGGGCCCACCACACCAACACGGCCCTGGGAGACAAGGCGGGCAAGCTAGGGGGGAGGGCCATACGAAGCCGGCTGGCCAGGCTTTAGACGGGTCTGGGCGTCGGGGGACACCCTGTGTTGGGTTTTTTTTTGAGGAGACACCGAAAATCGAAGAGGAAGCTGGCTTCCTGGTTCCTTTAAAAAATCAAGTTAACGGGAAATTATCGTTTTAAAGGTACTAGGACAAATTCAGACCTGATCTGCGGGAGGGAAGACGACAGATTACACTATGAAAAAACCAGCAGCGAGGTCATGCTCAAAAGCGGGAGCAGTGCTGCTAATTGACAGAGACTTTCACTCTCTAACAAAAAACTTAAACCATGCCTGTAAAAGCTGGCAAACAACTCGTATTTAACTAACCCCACAACTAACCGGATCTTCCGCGCTAAAACAGAATGAAGCTCGTCAAACAACGGATCCATTTCGAACTCGCTGAAGTTGGACTGCGGATAAATGGCTAAACAAACACCTAGGATGCGCCGAGTTCAACTCAAATCGGACGACAACTCCAACTCCCCAGAATCCGGATGGCAGCTAGAGAGGTGGGTAGTTTCAATGCGTTTTGAAGTCGGAAAATCAGTTGGAAAATGCACTTATAATTAAAGAAAATCCGCATCGCCTACGCGAAAAACCCGCCGGACGCCTTTTCGAACTGTCGACATTTTCCGACGTTTACGCCTACAGTACCTTGCGCTTTTCCGGGATGGACTGTAGAGGTGCGAATCAAAAACTGTTTTTCGCTGTCACTCTCTCTCTCTCTATCCCTCTCTATCGCTTTCGATCATTTTTTGTAGATCATGAGCCAAATCACTTCCTACGCCGGCTTTGACATTGAGCCAGTAGTAGCCAATAATGTGATCGGAAGCTTGGACTGGGGCACGCAGTTGGTAAGTCAGGTTCCTAGTACGTCTTAAAGGGGTGGGGACATCAAGTCACGTACGTGATGTAAGGCTTAGGCTTAGGCTTAGGTTAGGCTTAGGCTATGGCTGAGCTTAGGCTCAGGCTTAGGCTTAGGCTTAGCTTAGGCTCAGGCCTAGGCTTAGGCTTAAGCTTAGGTTAGGGTTAGGCCTAGGCTTAGCTTAGGCTTAGCTTAGGCTTAGCTTAGGCTTAGGTTAGGCTTAGGCTTAGGCTTAGGCTTAGGCTTAGGCTTAGACTTGGGCGTTACGAGGCGTCGTACGTTATCTTCGTTTTTTTGCAGAAAAACGGCTCCTGGGTCGGCGTCCTGGGAATGTTAGCCAATAACAGTGCTGACGCCGCCTGTCTAATGTACCAAATGACCGATCTCAGGGCCGAATATTTCGATTTCTCGTATCCGGTGACAAATGTGGGTTCAGAAATAGATTAATTTGGAGACCGAAAAATATACTATGATTCTAAAACTTGAGGTTCAACCAATTTACGCTGTACAGGCGCGGAAAGCCGACATCGGATCGATCTTGTGGAATGCTTTCAAGGTAGAGAGAGAGAGAGAGAGGGAGAGAGAGAGAGAGAGAAAGAGAGAGAAAGAGAGATTGAACTGGTTGTTCGGACTTGAACGGAATTTCTTGGTTTCTATAAAGTAGGGCGCGGGAGGCTAGCGGAGAATCTTTGGGAGTGAGGGAGAGCGAGACAGAGAGAGAGAGTGAGAGAGAGAAAGAGAGAGACAGAGAGCGAGAGAGGGAGAGCGAGCCAAACCCTATTTTCAGCCCTACTCCACCGTCACCTGGCTGTTCATCCTCGCCTCATTTCTAGTCCAAACGCTATATTTGGTCGGCATCACCAAGGTCGAGAAGCATCTAGGTTTCCGGCATCGCTTCCGGCCTTTTGAAGTAAGCAAGCTTCGTCTTCTCTTATATTTTACTGCATTCAGGTATTCTGGCAATGCATCCAGCTGCAACTCGACGAGCACAGCGAGGATATGCGCTTCAATACCCTGGCCGGCAATATAGTCATGTTTTTGTTTGCTTTGTTACAGGTAAATGTTACAGGTAAATTCAACTTTTATTTTGCATCGTTTTAAGTCGAGCCTACTGATAAAACTCTATGAAGGTCTGCTACTTTCGGCTCTCCTGGCCCCGGTTGATGATAATCCGTTCAAGTAAGCGACCTATCTGGTTCTCTCTTTCTCTCGCTGTCTATGTCTCTCTCGCTCATTTTCTCACTCTCACACGCTCTTTCTCTCTTTCTCTCTCGATCTCGTTTTTCAGGGATGCTGATGGACTAATAGCCTTGATCGCTAAAGGAGAATATCATCTGGTGACAAATTACCTCGGGAACTGGTTCGGTATTTTTCAGTGGCAATATTATTTAACGATTTTGTATTTCCTTCATTATTTTAAGGTACTTTGATGACATGCTCCACTCCAACGCTGCTCATTTTGTCGCTCTTCGTGCCGCAGTCGCCAATAATCCAGTGGTAACCGCGCCTACTGTAGCCGCAGCACTGGATATGGTGGAGAGCGGTAGGCGGGGGAGAGAGTGAGAGAGAAACGTAGAGAGAGAGAGAGAGAGAGAGAGAGAGAGAGAGAAAGAGAAAGAGAGAGAAAGAGAGAGAGAGAGCGAAAGATTTTAGGCCCCTACGTTTACCCAATGCAGGTCGACAGTCTGGCTATGCAAATGAGTAAGGAGCGCTGTAACTTGGTGTACGTTAGCGATGGTAAGTACAAGCTCATGCTCAAGCTGCTGCCGGGACTTAGACTAATGGCTTCTTCCAGGTCTGCCCCAAGTCGGCGCCTACATCGTCTTCCAAAACCAGAGCCGCTTCATCAAAAACATCAACAGGGCGATTATCATGAGCCAATCAATGGTGGAGCACACTTTTAAGTGAGTATTGTAATTTAAAATGTTTTTGATCGATCAAACAAGTCAAAAAGGATTATGACCGTGATTAAATTGCAGCAAGTACTTCGAGATGGGCTACAAAATCGCCAATATCCCGAAATGCCCGACTGAAGTTTTGGATACCGCTACGGGGATTATATCGAAGCCGTTGGGTTGGTTTTCCTAGCTTTCCTATCGTAATTTTCCAATTAACGTACTGACACTGGTTCTTAAATTCTATGTGCGATATTTTTAATGTTGAGACTTTTTAATATCGAAAGCATTCCAGACCTCGCATCAACTGTCGGAATATTTACCCTCGGCGCCCTGGGCATCGCGATTTCGCTGATCACATTTTTCGTGGAAATTTATATATTTTTGCATAATAGGTAAATTCGTAATGTTTTTCGACATTAAATTTTAATGAAAAGAATCCTACTATATATAAAAAAATAGTGTTTGTGTGTTTGTGTGTGTGTGTGTGTGCCACTTTGCATCCACTTCCGTTTGTCTGTCCGGAGGATATCTCGATAGGGGAGGAATTTTAAGGTATGTATGATACGTCATTAGGTGCGTAATGGCCTGGAGATGACTGCACGCGTAAGAGATTCAACAAACTCACCTATTTTCGACATTAAATTTAAGTTTTTGTGAAAACTTCTTTGTTAGGCATAATTAGCATTGACCGGAAGTGGGGTTTGGACTACATAAGGGGCAGGAGAGGTTGTTTTTTCATTTTTTTTTGTCATCAGAATTTAGGACAATTATGCAAAGTGAAGGATAAAATTGGGTCAGACGGGGCCAGGGTTGAAAAGTCGCGAAGCGACTTTTCAACCCTGGTTTTGAATATTTTCAGAGTCCTGGATCGCCATCGTCGAACCCGTCAAGCACTGGCTAGCAACTTGTTGGCACTGGGAAAAATTTACTTCACCGAGGTATATTAGCATTTCTGCATTTTTTACGGGGATTTAAGCCTGTTTCTCGTTCTTTTGGCAGGAAATCAGAACTATTTAATACACATGGCGACAAGCAACAGCTGTTTTCAGGTTCACCACGGCGTGGCTCTAACAAAGTTGGTCGATGTGATCGAAAGATCGATGGAGCAGGATGAGCGGCAAATTGTCGATGAACAAAGTAATTCTGAAAACTGATGGACTGGAAATTTTTAGTATTTACGGCAGATAGAGTAGTGTTTTTTGTACTTTCTATGTACGTTTTTACGCGCGCGTCAGAATCTAATAAATCACTTTAAGCATGTTTATTCGCAAAAGTCTTTCACGGCACAGCGTCAAAAGTACAACCAAAGGTTAAGTATGGACTAAAAAACACAAAAATGATGTAACGAGGTAATTAAAGTAGCTTAACCGGAAGCCTTGGCCATTTGCACCATCCACGCAATGTCGAAGCACCAGCACTGACCATATTCCGGCTCGTTAAGTTCTTGTCTCCAGGGCAAGTAGGGTGCTGAATCTAAAAAAATATGAAAAATTATTATATTGGCGATAAAATTAAAATGTCCAGGAAAGCGAGACATCATAAAATTTTTCTCAAAATCGCATAATTTTAAAGCGGATAAAAATAATCAAAAAATTAAAACTAGTCTTTGGACCTGGAAAGCCTCCCGCTTACCGGGCTGACTGACATATACGGGTGGCCGGCCAGCTGCCTTCTTGGGCTCGTGATCAGGAACTGGAGCAACATGATCTTTCTTGAACTTGCTGACAATGAGCGTCCTCAGGTCTCGGAGGGTGTCGCCAATCATTGTCGATATAATCCGAGGAGTTTAAGAAGTGCAGAGAATTCTTTTTGAGTTGAGAAATGAAAGTAACGTTTCGTCTTCCTGTCTCTTCTTGGCCGACAGACTTCTTCTGCGTTTTGATATCTTATCACATGCCAAATAGCCCCGGGGCATTAACGCCAAATGCATGAGAATGCAGAAAATTTGAATTAATTAGTAGAAAAATGCAAGTAATGCGTTTTCGTATTTTCACGTATTTCCCCGCCGCTTTGGTGAATTATCTTTTCGCCCATCGTGGACAACAATCAACTAGGTCTCGCTTAGAAAACATCTGACTTTTGTGAGCTTAGAATTCCATTTATTTGCGTGGTTTTGATGGTTTGTAGAGATAGAGAAATAACAAAAAATAACAAAAATTATAGCCGCCTAGCCTTTTATCAATTTTTTCAAAATTAAACTTTTTCAGCCATACGAACAATAAAAAAAAACCCTCGAAGATTTTGCAAAATTGGTCGTCGGCGATTTTCTATCCAGAAATCTGGTGTTCCGTATTTTTTTAATAAAAACCAGGGTTGAAAAGCCGCTTCGCGACTTTTCAACCCTGGCCCCGTCTGATCCCATGATATTCTTCACTTTGCATAATTTTAGCGATTTTCGATGACAAAAAATGAGAAACGCTACCTCTTTTCCCTTATATAGGCAAACGCAACATCCGGCGTATGCTAATTGTTTCCTAACAAAGAGGGTCCTGGATTTTTCAACAAAAACTTAATTTTAACGTCGAAAACACATAATTTTTGACAATTTTGTTTTTGTGCAGTCATCCCAAGGCCATTACGCACCTAATGAGGTATAATACATGCTCCTAACTGACCCCCTTATTGAGATACTACTGGAACACTCTGACGTAAGTTGCATGCAAAGTGGCACGGACACACACACACACACACACAGACACTATTTCCTATTTTTTTTATATATAGTAGGATCTGTAAGGTGACTCAGTTTAGAAAGAGCAAAAACCCCCTCTAAAACCGAGTTTCTAGGCATATCAGAACAATCCAAAAAATGGGGAATTTGGCCAAACTCAAAAATTTGTAAACTAATTCCTAGGACCCTAAAAGTTTTTTTTGGTCTTTTTTGCCATATCCAGTGCGTTTTCGGTCAATCCACTCTAACATTTTTGTTATTAACAGGTTTATTCGCACTTCAGTATCATCAGTAACATATCCTTTTTTTGTACATTTCAAGGCTAACAAAACCCGGACATTTGGACTCGAAATGTATTGAGGTATACAAGAAAGTAGAGGGAGGTATTCGAATCGACGGAATGGTGGCGTGGGAATTAAAATTTTTGCATAGTGACAAAAGAGATCACAAAATGGTATTTATATTATGGCGAGAGAGAGCGAGAGAGAGAGCGAGAGAGATAGAGAGCGAGAGAGAGAGAGAGAGAGAGAAATGCAGAGAAAGAGAGATAGTCGTGAATACTGAAGGACGACGGGTGAATACTTATCGTGGTTGTGCAGTATCTGTAGCTTCCAAAAAATTGAGGCGTAGAAGATGTAAAATCTTCTGCTTCAGCTTCAGCGTCTACTGTGAGTCCGGGCTGAGCAGGAGGGCGAGCCTGGAATTTACATTTTTAATGAATACTCGTTTTAGGGAGATTGAAAACTTTTAATCTTATTCAAAAAGTATCGTATTTTGCTATCCTCATATATGCAAATTTGATCACTTGAAAATGGCAAGGTATGAGTTAAAACGTTGAAAATTACCGGAAACAAATTTTTTATTTCTATTTCATTTTTGAGGTGCTAAATTTACATTACTTAGCAGTTTTACGATAGGAAAAACCTGGAAAAAGATGATGAAAAAGACGAACGTCTAAAAGGATGCAAAAATTGTATTTTCGATCTATATACAAGTTTTGAAAACTTTTTTTTTGGAAATCTTTGAAGTCAGGCATGGCCAATTTGCATATGAAAATGCGATTTAATTCCTTGACCCTAAAATTATCAAAAACCCTCACCTCTTCGCCTCCATTCCGTCAATGGGCCGCTGGCAGTGGCAATTCGCGGGGTCGAACATCCGGGTGACAGACGCCCAGCGGAAGTCCCTCAATTTTGGCCAGCAGAAGAAGGCCATTTGGCCCGCCCTGCAAATTGAAAGTGAACATGGTTTCGGAACAACATCTTTTTGGTGTTTTTGGTCAATGGGAAAGCGTAAACAAGAGGAAGAGAGAGAGAGACACTGAGAGAGAGAGAGAGAGAGAGAGCGAGAGAGAGAGCGAGTGAGAGAGCGTGTGAACGGGAGTACAGACCATACTAAAGCACAAGCTCTATGTAAATAAGCAAATTTTGTTATGCTGCCACTAACAGGACGTTTCATAATTCGTAAACGTTGTAAAACGCCGGTTTCCGGAAAACGAAAAAACCGCATTATTTATATATGCTTGAATTGTGATAATAAAACCGAAATTAAACTAAACTAAACTTCATAAACTTTGTATTTTTGAAATCCGTAAAAAAAATTTCTGTAAATTCGGATCGGTTTACGAAGAAATCCTAGGTCTCTGGTTTCTTAAAAAACCTGGAAACATTAGGAAAAATCATTATAGGAGATAAAACTATTTAGAAAAGTAAGAGAAAAAATAAAGAAGCAAGGTCGCTTAGAAAATCGAAGCAAGAATAAAAAGTAGATCAGAAAAGGGGAGATGAGGAAGGAGTAAAAAGTGGTACATTACTATCCAATCAACACTACCGTACCTCGACGAGAGCGGGCCGACGATGAACTTTGTAGCAATCGTGGTTAGTGCGTATGAGAATTTGTGTCTGGGTCAGGAACGGGAAAACGGGGCTTATATAGCCCCAGCTGTATACACGCTCGGAGAATTCGGGAAAACACGCCCCTAGTCTGGGTGCGGGGGGCCGGCCGCGTGTTGACGGGTCAAAATGTTGTTGTGTCGGAATGGCCCCTTCCATGGCCCCTAGTGCCTAATTCTCTGCAGTCTCTCTCTCTCTCTCTCTCTCTCTCTCTCAATATCCCCCACTGTCTCCCCCAGATCCCCGTATGCAAATGGCTATGAAGTACGCAATGAGACCAAAGACCGCTTTTTCGGGGCCTGGTTCAGGATATTTGGATAGATCAGAGATCGCGAAGAGACCTTGGACCTTGCCCCGTTTTTTGAGGGTTCTTTGTTTCCTATCTGGATGGTGGAAAAGCCCTAAAATGCCTGAAAACAACCGATTTTGAGGCTTCAAGTTTTCCCTGGTTTGTCTGGATGCTAATTAACTTGAATTTATCGTAAAAAAAGTACTTTTGGCTTTACTAACGTCCAAAATTCTAATTTTTATACGTTTGTTACCCTGGACGCTTTAAAACTTTTAACGCTAAGGCCGCTTAAAACCCTGAAAATATCTTTTTAAAGGTGTAAATAATAGTTTTCCGAATAGTAAAGTCGTAGGCTATTTTTACGAGCAGAAAATTGCATGGTAATGAATTATAGAATTTTTAAAGGCCATCGAAAGCGAGGAAAACTCAGTAATTTTTGCATTTTCGACTTTTTTAAAAACTATAAAGCTTCAAATGTTTTTTTCATAGGGACCGGAATCTTTTGGAAATTTCACAAGTCGAAAAGAAAATGAACTTCCCAAAAATCTCAAAAAACAACGCTAAATTTTTTGGGCATGGTCATTTGTAAAAATTCAAAAAACCAGAGAAATCAATGAAGAAATCAAGATTTGACCAATTGCCCGATGAATCGCCTGCCAGATGATTCGTAAAGTGGAACGAAAAGTCCTGTGATCCTGTGGTTCCTTCCTGAGTGACCATCTGGCCGCTGAGTCACTGCTTCTCCTCCAAGGGACGCAATTCCGAAACACGCCAATGGCCAGCTCATTTTGTTTACGAACTTCTTTCACTGGCCAGTGGAAGAAAGACGACACAAAAAAGTGCGCTTGGACTTTAGGACTAAGGAATTTTAAGCGGCTTTTACACGTTTCCTTGCTTTCAAAATAAAACAAAAAGCCTGCCGACCAGCAGATATCGTTTAAGAAAGCCAAAAAAAGGCTAAAATTTTAGCTATGGGCGCATTAAAAAAGGGGATCCCTTAGTCGTAAGCATATGAGCGTAGCAGCCCCATTGAAGAGAATGTCGAAAGTTCTGTACAAAGTACAGGACTTACGAGGTTTATTCGCATTGGGGGACCCCGGGGGTTGCTGGCTATCCCGCGCCCCTCTCCCCGCCGCCTACGGTAGGGGGGAGCCCAAGAGGGCGCCGATTTATTGCCAATTTACCGCCAACTTCTTCCCGAAAGGGAGTCGTTGCCGCCAGTCGTTGCACCGATTGGTTTGGTTATTTCGGTAAGGTTGTTGGCTAATGCCACTTCCTGTGCTTGATTGGCTAGGCTTGAATACTCTTCCAACCAGCCCTCTCTTTTCCCATTGAGCTCTAATCGTTCCTCTTTTACTCCCAGTGTTACCCTTGGATCTCGTGTTCATACATTCAGTACTGCCTCTTTCTATATACTAATAAACCTTTTCCTATCTACAAGTCTCTTATCAGTGGTAATCGCATGGGATCTTATTCATGGTCTGCAGGGTCTTCTCAGAGGCCTAAATTAGTCTTACAGACCTCCGCTGATCCGGCTACCCGTGTTAGGGGATGCGTTGAGGGTCGTAGGAGGAATAGGTGGCAAATCCCTCGCGTGGGCATTATTGGGATTTATTCCTAATAGTGCGGGATTGCTATTCCTTTTCGACATGGTGCGTCGGCCGTATGAGATAGAACCCAGGTCGAGATCCCTTGCTTTTACTGCTTTCCACTTTTCACTTTTTGTCTTGGTTTATTTGTTTTCCATTCTCTAATTTTTTAGAGTTTTACATACAGACAAGGCAGCACTACGAAACCTTTGGTTTCCCAGATCAGCACTTTAATTGTCAACTAGAAGGCAATTTTTCCAGTCCAACGGAACCCAGAAGAAATGGATCAACGACCAGTCGGCGGCCACCGGCGACTTTCAGCCC